GGAGTTCAAGACCAGCCTGACCAACATGGTGAAACCCTGTTGCTACTAAAAATGCAAAATTGGCCGGGCATGGTGGATGCTATAATCTCAGCTACTTAGGAGGCTGAGGCAGGAGAAATGCTTGAACCCGGGAGGCAGAGGTCGCGGTAAGCCGAGATCTCGCCTTTGCACTGCAGCCTGGGCAACAGGAGCCAAACTCCATCTCAAACAAATACACACACACAGGAAATGTAAAGCTGGCCTGCATTTGGACTTTGTTCTGTGGAAGACCCTGAGCAGCTGGGATTGCCTCAGCCACCATCATCCCACTGAACCTTCGCAACAGCTCCCGACTCATCTCCCTGTGATCCCCACGCTGCAGGCAGAACGGTGTTTTGGAAACCTGTATCCAGGCCTATCATTCCAGACTCACGTCCTACACCGGTCCCTACTGCTCATAGTGTAAGGACCATTCTCCTGGTGCTGCTCGAGCCCGGCCTGGCCTGGCCCTGCCCACCTCTGCAGCCTCGCCCTCCTCCCTTCATCAGCCCCAGCCACGATGACCTCCGTCCAGTCCCTCCTACCTCCTCAGTCAGCGACTGTTTTTTGAACATCTACACATTTGCCATGCAGCACCTTCGCACGTGGCTGCTCTCTCCGCCTGGGATACTCCTCCTTCCTTTGGAAACAATCGAATTCTTGCTCATCCTTCTCCACATCTCAGCTGAAATGTCCTTCCTCCAGGAAGTCTTCCCCAATTCTCCCCTTTCACGAGCTCTCCTGGTACCACGTGCCTCTCCTTTGTCATGCTACCCACAGTTGCATTTTTACCTTTCTTTGTGTGATCACAAACGCGGCCAGTGGGCTGGAAGTTCTGTGACAACAGGAACCGGATGCTTCTCCATGCCGCTGCGTCCCGGGGCCTCGCATAGTGCCTGGTATAAATACAGACAGTGTGAATCGGGGGCATGAGCCTGGTGTAAGTACAGACAGTGTGAATCAGGGGCATGAGCCTGGTATAAGTCCAGACAGTGTGAATCAGGGCATGAGCCTGGTATAAGTACAGTGTTAATCAGGGCATGAGCCTGGTATAAATATAGACAGTGGGAATCGGGGTCATGAGCCTGGTATACATACAGTGTGAATCGGAGGTATGTGCCTGGTATAAAAACGGTGTGAATTGGAGGCATGGGGAAAGGGTGAGGAAGAACAGAGACTGGTGCTGGGGGGATCTTTGAAAGAGGCCAGGAGCAGTGGCTTGCACCTGTAATCCCAGCACTTTAGGAGACCGAGGACGGATCACCTGAGGTC